GTATGTAAATTAAATTAGTTTTATAATATTATTATTACTATTAAATTTTTTAATTATAATCTGAATTTTGAAAAAATTAACATTGCATCTGATTTTTGAAATTTGAATTTGAAAGATAGGGATGTGTGTAATTTCCACTAAATAAAATTATAAAAATATATAATTTTTCATATTTATAGCAAAAAATATTTTTTTTGTTAAATATGAACTAAAAATTGAACAAAATGATAAATTTATATTTCTACCAAGAAATGTTTATATAGAATTCAAATTTAATGTTACAAGAATTAATTATAACTTTGCAAAATTAAATTTAACTTAAACAAATAACAACTAAATGTATTTCTAATTATTATTATCAAATATTTATAGTATAAGTACATCCTAACTAGATTGACACCTACTTTTATTATAATTTATAGTTTGAGTACATCCCAATTAGGTTGACTCTCTCCCTTTTTTTTTCAAATTTTTTTTAAAAAAAATTTCATGGGCCAGCGAGTTAACCGCGGCCCGTGAAGGTGCAACCCGCAAAGCCTGCGGGTCACACCTCTTTGACCCGTGAACCGCCTGCTCGGGTCACGGGTCGGCACGTGGTCCCGGGCCAATCTGGGCCGATTTTCACAGGTCTGGCCGACCCGTCCGTCTTGACACATTTACTAAAAAGCAGCCCAAGTTACCTGTAAAGGATACTTTCTTCAAAACATAACTAACAATCATTCTTTGCCACATGTAGACTCATAATGAATTCTAGTTTTTATATACCATTGGCATTTCCACACGATGACCTTTTGAATGTATGTTGTATCTAGAGGAGGTATGTGCTTCAAACATATTATAAGAACACAAACGTACCAAAAAAATCGTTATTTTGTCGAACATACCATACTTTGCAAAACGAATATAATTGAACCATGAACAATCAAGCAATGCAATGCATTTTCTGTATTCTTGAGAAGGAGAAATGAGAACAGGGACGGATGTAGGGGAGCCCAGCCCATTGAATTTTTTTTGGTAGAATTTTTTTTTTTTTTTTATGTAAAAAAATAATTTCATGTGTAATTTTTTTTTTTTACGTATTAGGCCGACTTGTAATCTGGTTCTGGATCCGTTCCTGGATGAGAATATGATACACAACAAAGGGGTAAGTACATAGAGCAACATGACTGCTAAAAGACCAGATCACATACCGATACATTTTATACATAAAACAAGTCAACAAGAGTTGGCTAGTAATTTAGTAGACTGTTGAGACAACTGGAAGGGTGAACCGACCAATTTTCCAACCATGTGACAACAAATTCATATGCTTGAAATTAAGTTCTCTAATAAAGGTCAAGTACAAGAGCCAGCTAGACGCCTAAGTCTGGATGTCATCTCCATTCACAATATTACAAACAGTGCGCCGGGCAGGAATAAACACAAATGGTGGAGGATGTCTATAAACCACAAGAAACCAAATTAGCCAGCTATTAAGTGCAGTTAACAAAACCGAAGTTATAAATGAATTTCATGAACATATATGTGAAAAATAAGGAATGATATAGAATATGACTTTCTCACTCACAGTAAAAGCTCAACCAAGCGAGAGCAAACGCCAGCCCGGCTAATAGCTTGGATTTTGTCATTTGTCCCGTCAGATGGATATGACAGCGCCCAACGTGCATCGGTAAGGACTTCTTCATCATTTGTGTGTATCAGATGATCAAGAGCAAGGAGGGCAGGCTTCACCTGCTCAATAATTTTCAGAAGGAATTGCCTCAATATAAAATGTTCCAGCAGTATTGATCGCAACCAAAGAGAAAAATAATAATAAAACAAACCTGCTCAAACTGAGGCTGTGGCTTCCCCCGACAAAAGTTTGACAACATCCACGTTGCATTTCGCAACATGGATAGCTTTGCTTTGTCATTAAGCCACTGTTCGACAACTATTATTAGGAAAAATAAAATTTTGAATAATGATTTTTAGAAGAATATGTGATTAAAATTAGGAAAAGGTTTTATGTTTACGTGCAGAATATTTTATTATATGAATGTGTAACACCCCCAATCTAGATACCTAGATTTAAAAGTATTATCATTTCATTTTCTCCTAAAATCATAAATGCAAAAAGACAATTAGATTTTTCTTTATCATAAAAATCAATGACTTATTTTTAAAATAATTCGCACTTAATAAAATATAGGAATTTACAAAATGAATTCAATATTTAAATGTGATAGTACTGAGTCCGTCTCACCAAAAGTCGCCATCTCCTATCATCTTGTCTTCATCATCTGAAAATGGGGATGGATAACCTGGAATGAGCTAACACTCGGTAAGCAAACATCATGTATATAATGTATGCTTATGATATGCATATGAATTATTTTAAAATAAAAGTATTTCTCAATATAAATCCACTTATATTTGATTTCTTTAAAAACCTTAACATTGACATCGTGAGCTCATTGGTATATCGTCTAACCAATCAAAATACAGTGGACAATTATTATTTGGTTCGTCCTACCGGTAGTACCGCAAAGCAATTAAATTAACATTATCATTGAACATTGGTATGGTGTACCGGACCCCACACCCCATTTCCTACTCACACCTTTCATGGCATAGACATGCACCTCGTAATAAAAACATCCGGATACATCTTTTTGAAATAGTCCTCCTCAATTACATTTGGAAACTCTTTATTTCATGAAACTTTATGTATACTTATGAATACATTGGCATGTATCAGTATGTCATGAGAAGCATTTATGACATAAAAAGTAATGATCAAATACAATATTTACGTAAGGACAATTTAAGTAGCACGTTTATACATTTAACCTATGACGTACGTATGAAAATAAGGGAGATTTACTTACCTCTAATGCTTTGCAAATTTCTGATTTGATGCAATGATCCCTTGATTGCTCACGACATCGTTGCCCATGACCTTAATGTAAATTTACATAAATGTCCTTAGTATATTAAAATTGACTATGTACTTTATGAGGGGCTATAGTGGGCAATGAGCACTAAATAAAATTAAGCACACCATAGTAAAATTCAGTTCAACAATTATTTCTAATTTTTATTTTTACAATCATCATAACATGTATACACATCATTGGACATTTTTTTTATAATAATCAAAATTAATCTTTTACAGTTTTTAGAAATCAAACATACCAAAAATAAAATTGTTAACTTTATCTACAACATTTGATTAAAAGTTCACAAATAAA